CTCGGCGCTACGCGCCTCGTTGGCTATCTATCATCTCATATCCAACGCGCGCTCGTGGAATAATTGTTAAATAATACTCTGTAATATTGTTATGACTCCCCTTTATTGGCAGTCAATTTTCTTTAGTCCCTCATTTATACTCTCTAGGCGACGAATGACCCCCCTCCGTTCTCCCCAAGAAACCATACGATCCCCAAAGTTCTGCAATCTTCCCCCTACCCCAGGAGATGATTAACGAGGGGTCTTTTAGTCTATAAAATCACTCACTTTGGTCTGGTGGCTATCGCGATTTCTGAATATAAGCGAATATTGAGCTAATTGTGGGATTAGAAGTGATGGGAATAATTTAAGCGAATATTGGGCTAGTCCCGACACAGAAGAGATTTTCAGAATATGAATATGATGCTGTCCCTCATTGACATGTATAATTTGTCTCCACAATAGCCTGAAGGAGCCAATTTAACCTCAAGGCAGCCACAGTGGATTGGGGCCTGGTGGCTAGCATACACTATAACTGGTTTGGTGATGTTTGTCTGCGCTATTGTAATCTTTGGATTTCCTCGTGAGTTACCAGGATCAAGAGAGAGGCGCGATAAAGCCATAGAAGAAGGAAACTTGCCAAAAAGCGATGAACGGTTACGAGGCAGTTTAAAAGATATTGTGCCAGCGACCATCAAGCTCTTGAAGAATCCAACGTACATGTTTAACGCTATGGGCACAACTGCTGGATCGTTTTTCGGGGCTGGATTGGGAGCCTTCATCAGCAAGTTCGCTGAGTTGAAATTTAATACAAACCCGGGCTTGGCTGGTGTTACTCTTGGAGCCGTGTTCCTCGTAGGCGCCACAGGTGGCTGAAATTTCTTGTTTTTTTGTTATCTCTGCTTCCTGGTCTCGCCTTATCAGAGATCTAGAAGGGTCATCTCATACAGTCTCTGTTATACTATTTCTACACGAAACTTTTCCTCTAAAGCACAAGAAGCATGGTAACGGTATTCTCAATCGGAGACAAATACGCTGGGTCTAAAAATAACTTTAGGGTAATTTCTCTTGAAAGGTAGCCTTTAGAACGAGTCTCTTAGCTTAATCGTCTCTTGATTGTCACGTGTCACGTATGTCTATTCAACTTCTCTTTAAGGTGGTATTTTTTTGAGCGGAGTCATCGTTAGGCGGTTTAATTTGAAGAAGTCGTGCCGACTGTCTGCGATGTGCTGCTGGTGTTTTCAACTTTTCACCGTATGGACAGCTGTAACTTTTATCATTCCGGGATGCAATCAGATCGAATTGGCGGGTATCACCAAGCCTTATTACAAAAGGTGCGGAAAATTTCTGTCATCCGGAAATTTTTTTTTTTAAAAGTGGTAAATGAATGTACGCCTCGACTCTCTAGGTAGAAGTGGTGTGTGTGACATGTGAGTCGTATTCTGGCGCATATCACCATACTTGTACATCCAGAGGAGCTTTAGTCAAACGAATTGGACTAAGCTTCGAAAACTACAGCTATTCTTAATTATGTGCTTTTCTTGCAATGAATAAATTATGAATGAAATGAACGAAAGTCCTCAGTATTTCTTGGAATTATAATTTAAAATATTCGAATAAGGCCAGAATTTCATTTAAATGTCCTGGTAGAACTAAGTAGAGTCCTATTTTACAATTATACTGAGTGGGGCCGCAGGCCAACAAATACGTGCCAGCCAATCAAGGTGTGTGACTCTACAGTAGAAAAACCTTTTTTCACCCCCGACCTTTACATCATTGGCACTATAATGGTTTGATCGTGACCTTTCTATTTATCATGAATAGCCAGTCACAACTCGGAAGTTTAACAGCCCAATGCAATGCAAACTGCAGCTGCTCGATCGCAAGTATTGATCCCGTCTGTGGAGAAGATAACTTGAGTTATTTTTCGCCTTGCCATGCTGGATGTTCAAAGGTGGAAGGATCCAAGGTGTGAAATTTACCTAACATGTGTATATTTTAATAGTCTCCGGGGAAGAAAGGGATTTTTGCGCTCTGATTGGTTCAGGATTGCGTTAACTCAGGAACTACGAGGTAATCTCAGTTTAAAAAAAAAAATAGGCTACTGCATGATCTCCTTTACTTTGTGAAAGGAACACTCAACTTCAACACAATTCAAAACGTTCCCTTCAATATTAACTAGACTGATGAATAATTTTTTTTCAGGCATACCAGTGTAGTTGTATTCTTTCTGTTGGGAATGGAACCGAAGCATCGGCCGCGAAACGCTATTGCGACAGAGGACCAGGCTGCAAAAATTTCTTGTATTTCCTCTTAGTTTCTTGTTTGCTAATCGTAGCCGTTTTCCTGACGGCGATACCAGGCAAAACCGTAGCTCTACGGTAAGAAAATGTTTCTTTTCTCGGAATACATCTTTTACGTATACACTGCTAGATTCACAGACGAACTCCTGAAGTTTAACCTGTGAGGACGGATCACTTTCCTGCGAATAGTCCCTTACGAAAAGCCACTTGACTAATTTACTAATTTACACCGGGCGGGGGGGAGGGGGCAACCGTGCCTCTACTCCATAGTAATAAGAGTTACGTACACCAAATAAACATCCTTGCGATCCTTGTTCATACTCAGGGAGTAGACTCATTAAACCGATTGCGGGAAATTTTCCATTCACTTGAACCACGATTTCAATGTTTTCAACATTGCCAATGAACAAGACGAGGTTATCATAGTATACATCACTGATTCACGGTCGTCGTAAAAGACATTTCCAGAAATTGGTGACGTTCTTCGTCATGAAACACTGATCGAAACTAAGAAAGCTATAAATACTTGGACCTATTCGTAACTTTGGCGGTATTCACGAAGTTTCAAAAAGCGCGGTTTAAAAGTGTCTCACAGAAGACTCAATTTTCTCTCCACAGTTGTGTACCAGATAATCAAAGATCCTACTCGCTTGGTTTCCAGTTTATTTTCCAGCGCTCTCTTGGCTTTTTACCTGGACCGGTTGTGACTGGTTGGATATTTGACTATCTTTGTCTCCTCTGGGGAGAAAGTTGCGGAAGACGAGGTCGATGTCAAATATACGACATTAAAAAGTTGTCGCTAGCAATAACTGTTTTGGGATGTATTATGAAAGGTAAGGTTCCAGTCTGCGAAGCTTTTGTTTCTGCCATCTTTGACTTCATACAAAAGTTTTGGATTCATTTAATGATGGAAAAATAGCATAGTACATTATTATTTAGTTTGTGAAATTTTCAAGCATATCAACCAACTATTTATCAAACAAGCAACTTTAGCTAATGAAACCCTGCATTCCTCCAGCAAACATTGTCTACTACATTTATTTCCTTCGTCCTTTCTCAAAATATTGCACTGCCCCAAGTATTCGAGATATTTTGTAGTCTTATCATCATCGGGAAAGCACCTTCACGACGTAAAACCTGGAGGTTGATGACGCTAAACCTATAAAAAGAATTGTAGAGGCAAAATATGGGGTAGCAAGGCACTGTTCGTAGAACCTGCTTGACAAGCTTAAGGTGCTTCGTACACGCCATAAGTCCTTCGCTGCCACCAGTAACCAGTGTTACGATAACCCAACATATGCCTTGGTAGTGCCACTAGTATATGGGAGGCAAACTGTTGGGTAACTTCTAGTTTATGGGAAGCACGAGTTCAAATCCCGCCGAAACTTGAATTTCTATGGGTATTTTTTACCGAAATTTCATCGATTGCAACTCATCTGTGAGGTGACTTTACTTCAATGTCATCCACAGGTAAAACATGCTCTATGTTTTTTCCTTTGAAATGTTGATAGTAATTGAAATTAAAGCAGCTCTAAAGCTTTCAATGAGTCGCAACGAGGTAGGGTAAGTTTGAAATCCGTATGTGCTCAAAAAACTGAATTTTCCTTTTGTTAAAGCCTGCCTCAAAAGACTAGCTTTTCCTTCAAGAGATGGATTCGTCTAACTGCATTTCTGTTCTTATTTCTCAGGTCTAGCCATGTTATTCTTTTTCCTGAGCTTTTGGTTTTGCAAATCAAGCTATGATGAAGATGATGTAAAGGAAGATCAAACAAAGGACGAAAATGAATCAATGAGGGAGTCTTTAAATTTGTCCAAAAAATTATTAACTGATTAATTAAGCAACCAATGCCACAGTTAGACTGGCTATAGAAAGCCTCTGTAGTCTTACAGGGGGAGTCTCAGTGGGGTTAATCGCTAGCCGTTAAAAATACCGAAAATTTAGCTGTTAGTCGTTAAAAAAATTAACCGTCAAAATTTGTTTAGGTGACTACATGGAAAGATGTTAACCGTTGGCCGTAAATTGGCAAAAGTTGTAACCGTTAGCCATTAAAAGCCATCACCCCATTGAGACCCTCAACTGGTTGTGGTAACAGTTTAAGTATTGTTGTGGTATGGTTCTCCGTCACAATTTTCCAATAAGTTATTGCCATATATTCTAATTGTGTAGTCTCTAATGTGTATTGCTATAACTGTATGAAATTAACCAGGAACCCGTCTTCCGGCTGTGTTATGTTATTTTTATTGTTCATAAGAAGGTAGTAAAGGGTGGGTGGGTTCTGATCCCGTTTCATGCAATAATTTTCACAAAATTCCAGCGTCACAAGTACTTTAAACAGTATTACACGCCTGTCGAATTGAAAAGGGAAAACTTAAAATTCCAACGTCACAAATTAATAACGCGTCACTTAGACATTGCCCACCGTAATGAAAATGTTAAGAGAGGTTGACACCAAAAAACTAGCACTGAGACACTTAAAGTTACCTACGTAATCTCTGTTTCAAAAAGGACCATAGAACAGACTTGGAAGCTATGACTTTCCTTACAAGCTTGAGTCCTGATCGTTTAATTCCTTGCCGTTTTCTACCGATTTCCTGGAGCTTTTTGCCTCGTCTAAAGCAGTTCTTTTGCGACAGTACCAAAACGAAATGAAATAGAATAAAACAGCCAACACTGTGGGAAGAAAGATGGCGAAACAGTTACCATTTTAATTTGGTATGATTGTTAAAGATGTTACGGTGTATAGGATAGCCGACGCCCAGATTAAAAAAAAAAAAAGAAAAAAAGAGCCTTTTCCAGGTGTCATTAGCCCGTCGAGGGCCAGGGGCGAATGATCATCATCACTAAAACTTGCTGTCCCGCAAGATACAAAAAGGATATGAGATGAAAGAAATTGCATTTGTTATGATTATCACCAACACATACATCTTCCATTGACAGGGGCACACCTGGCTTTAAAAAGTATTCACCTCAGCCCCTCCCACCTTCCTCCCACAAATTTTAATTAATATTGCACATTCATCGCCCTCATCGTGATGTGCAATGCAAGACAAATCCAGAACAAAAGAGAGAGACTGAGTACAAGTGCAGAAGCTGTGGAGAGGACTGTCATTCCTGCATTGGTCTACACAGTCATCTTAGACGATGATCCAATGTTATTTGAACTAGAAGCGCAGATAGGGACGAATAAATGGAGGTACCGTCTCCTGCAGGGTTAGGGGTAGGAGACGTTAATTTCCCACACACGAGATTACTGTGTGACGGATTTCTTTCCCTGGGGTGGGATGGGTGGGTTTGCAGAGCCCCATTTAAACCAGTATATGCTGAACTGGGCATCTCTGCTAAAATATGGTTGATAAATAAATAAATAAATTAATTAATTAATAAAGATCCGCGGCCGCTCGTGACCAACGGATGCCAAGATGACACACATGCATGGAAATGTATCAGAATTTTTATTTCGAAATTACCATGGAAAGTTCCGGTGACAAGCATGATGCCAAAGGACAAACTAGGTACATCATAGAACTGACAATTGCCTCTTCGACCGCAGTTTTCCGCCCAAACAAGGCAGCGAGTGTCAAAAAGCCAACCATAAAGTATCGGTCCGGGAATGAATCCAAGAGTTCGCTGAAATACAAACTGGAAGCCAAGCGCGTAGGAGCGAATGTTGTCAGGAACTGACCTAGGATAGAATACAGTTGAGATAATAACATCGTCATTGTAATGGCAAATCTTTCGATTTTCGTAGATTTCCTCTTTGTTAATGTAAACGTAAGTTTAGTCCGAATTGGTGATGGAAGTCGTAAATAGCAAATAGTTTTAATACTTTCACTCTAATGAGTAACCAGGACAGAATTTCTCCTCACTGATGCCGATACAATATCAGGAAGACAAGATTAAATTCCGTAACATCATAAGAATTGTATGACAGACAGGAGGGAGAATTACTAATGAGATCTCGGGAATAAAAGGGTTAAATGAGTTGTTGTTAATTGTAAGTAGCTGTAGTATTGTATAGAAAGGTATGGTAAAGTCTGTACTCGAGTCAAGTGACCAACCCAGCAGTAGCTTCTCCTGGTTTTCCTCTGGCATGAAGCGACTAGAAGCATTACTACTCCCCCCTGAATGAGATGCTATTCCATCGCAAGGTTACCCCCCCGCATTTCATCAGGTTGCCCTTACAATTGGCAGGTACGGTACTCATTTATACTCCTACGTGGACAGAGGCACGGTGAGAGTAAAGTGTTTTGCCCAGGAACAGAACATAAATGACGCGGCCTGCTCTCGAACCCAGACCTCTCGACCCGGGATTCCAGCGCCTTAACCATCCTATAACTAATAAATGATCGCTCTCACCTTTACAAATAAGTAGATAGCTTATTGGCAAGGGAACAAACGACTACCGAATTAACGCAACCAGGATCTTAATTGAAACGCAAATGAAGGAAACCCTGTGCATACAACCAAGCAGTGGGTCAACAGTTAAACTCAGCTTGCGGCCCAGCAGCTTTTTATCAAGCGCTTTAGATCCACTTAGATCAACTTACTCGCTGAATCATGATAAGAAATCCAGAAAAAAGGCTCTAGTGATCAAGGGAGTTGCAGTACAAACGGCGAAGCTGTAACGGACGGGCTAACAAGCAAGGGGGTTTGGCGAGAAATATCTTACTTTTCGGGTTGGCCCCTCGCTGTCGCTTTGTCGATCGCAACGCTTATTGGAGCCTGTTCATGGACTAATGATTTGTCAACAGCCAGTCGCAGCAACCTTCGGGTAGCAGCCAATGTTTTAAAGGGGCTACGTCGCTTTCACACCGTGTCAAACGAATTTAAGTTTGATGGAAACTAGGTTATGATTCATAAGTCCAGTGAGCTTGACTAAAAAAAAAAGGGGCACAAAAATGAACATGGAGTGAGTGGCCGATAACAGAGGAGATTAAAAGGAATGGATAAACTTCACAAAACTTAGGGTGAAATAAGTCTTTGAGTGATTTATGTACTACACTAACAACAAATACGGACAAGTCTCAGCTAGAATTCAGCGGCGCATGGCCTGCCCGCTGTTTTCAAATCGAAAAGTCTTGTCAATTTTGCATGTGCTCACCTCAGTACCACAGTCTTGTTTGGCACAGAAAGTATTAGACCTGTCAGCAATAGAAGTAGTACAGCGACCAAAAATGCGATGTGATTTTTGCAGCCTGAGCCTCTGTCACATAATCCACGAGAAGCCATGGGTACTGAGACATTGAAAGGTGGTGAGACACAGCTACAACCAGAGTAAACCTGTTACAAAAAACATACCATTAACCGGTGCGATGTAAACTTTGAAGGTGAAAATAGGGGCCTGAATATACTATATGTTGGAGACTCCATGGTCCAGCTTATCTAAAATACATTTATTTTACGGCTTTTTTTACATAACTGTTACTCGTGAACCTGTGTTCGGGAATCCTTTCGTGATACAGGTTCAGCCGGATAACGTATTGAGTTTAAAAACAAGGCTTTGAAATCTCTGAGAGGTTTCTTGACTGATTCGAAATACCGCGTCATTCTAATCGTGTTTGGTGATTTGATATTGAGCACAAAGTTTTTTTTACCATATACAAAAGACAACATGTCACCACTAGACAACATGTCACTGCGTTATACATGGCCATCACATACACTGAATATGAGTAAGAGCTCATTCTTTCTGAAAGATAAAAAAATTATGCACTTCTAATAGTGTTTCCCAAGCTCATCCGTAAGTTTGTGTTATATCTTAGGAAATTTTGATATTGTTCTTGTTGAAATAACTTTTAATCAGACGTAATTAAGGAAAGATTCTGCTGTTCTACCTTACCCCATTGGGGGCTGATAAAGTGCAACCAGCAAAACAAGGAGAAAAGTACGTTAATTTGTCCGAGCCGCACACAGGTCGGATCAGGGTCAGAGGGCAACTGCAGTTTTTGTTACATGTTGAGATCAGAGAATCGTCTCTAATTGTGCTGTGAAAGGCAAACAAATTAAGTCCATGAGTTACTAAAGAAATCCCTAGCAACATAATGAACATGTTAGTCTAGCCAATACAATCCCTACGACTTACAAACAATTTACAATTTGCTATTTCTGTTACAAGAGCTTTAGAAATAGGGTCTCAGGAATGGCTAGGAAAACAAACTATCAACCAATCAGAAATTCAGTTCGCGCGCGTGTGCACATGGAGAAATCTGAGAGATAACAAAATGAATTGAAACCGCCTTTATCGTTTTGTATCTTTCTCTGTACCTGTCCCAGTATGGTTTGACTATCCCAGCAAGTTGCACCTCGTCACATCCAGGTATTAACCAAATAAAACTTGTAAGCATTGTGACAACCTTGATGATCAAACACCATTTGGCTGCCATAAAGAGTGCCTCTTTTAATTTGAAACGACGGACAAGAAGACCTCCCAAGAATACACCAACTGAAATATTGAAATATTGTGTTACACTTAGAAAATATTGTCCTTGTTAGAACCAAGACTCGATAATTATCTCTATGCATGTGCATCTTTGAAATGAGTACAGGCACAGTCCTGGGCTGGGCACAAGAGACCAATCGTTATTTATCGTCGCGGAAGGGGGGGGGGAGGGGTGTAGGAGGATATTGGTAATGTCACAATAAAGTTTTACCTGACCCCTATAAGGTTCTGTAGGATTCTGATGATCCCCCCTCATTAGCAGTCAGTTTTCTGTAGTCACCCCTTTAAATTCTGTTAGAGATGACTGATCCCCCTTCCGTTTCCCCAGAAAACCATGCAAGCCCCCAAAACTCTACAACCCCTTCCCCCTTCCAGGGTGATATATAATGACTGGTCCCTAAGTCCCTAAGTCCCTAAGTCCTGGTGACTCTAAGTTATTTGCGAACAATTTTCTTCAAAGTTTCTAAAGCTTTTTACCCAGGGCGGTGCCTGTTTCCAACTTAAATTTGCTCTTTACTCACTAATAGTTACCATTCTTGACAAATAACTTTGCAGTCCTCTCCTTCTCTGGTAGGAGATGGCTCCAGCTTTATCAAGCCGCTTTTTACTGGAGTCACATTCACGTGAAGTAATTAACAAATAGATTCTATGTTGCCGTGCATCTGTTCAGTAATACATCACCAATCTCGTTCCCAGGGCCTTGGGAACGAGGTTGATACATCCTAGATGACTCCAAAATGTACTAAGAACAAACAAGTGGCTCAAGAGGCGTTGCCACGTGTGTTACTGATGTTCTTACTACATTTTGACTTCCTCTGTGATCTTTCACAGCTGAGACCCACTGCAAACTGGAATCTATTTATTTTATATCATGGATAAAAATGCAAATCATTGTTAATGGTAACGTCATTTATGCGTCTGTCCTTCAACAGATTGCAAGCAAGAACCAATTAACGTGCTTGTACAATTGAGCTTATCGCATAAACAGCGATAGTTTACCTCCAGCACCAGGAATTACCGCTACCCCTATCGCCAGTCCTGCAATGGCCAAACTTAGATTAAACTTCAGATAAAGGAATTTCACAATGAAAGGCCCCACGCCAGCGCTACCGAAAGTGGTTGCCGAGAGGGCCAAAGCATTAAAAACGAACACAGGATTCTTGAGTAGCTGCACTGTCGCTGGGATGATACTTTTTATGGTCTCCTTTATATTTTGGTCATTTAAAGGAATAGCGCTTTCTTTCAACAATTTCTCTCTCCTTTCCTTGGCACCGGGAAGGTGCCGCGGAAATCCTGAAAGGGCCACACTGGTGAGGACTAGAAGGCTTCCACCAATTACGTACCCAAGCCACCAGGCCCCTATCCAACGTGTATCACGAGGAGTGATGTGAAAGCCTTTGGGCTGGAAGAAAAATACACGTGCACCGTTAGTTTACACTGCTTATGGCTTACAACCTTTTTTCTGGCGTACGAAATCGCATTTTATTGCAGTGAAAGTCGTGTAAACCGGGAGGCTTGATTATACCGGCCCAGTTATATTACGACCCAAGACATAAAACACGGGATCGGCGCTATGTTGAATGATCAGAAACAAATAGAAGAATCAGGAGCACCTTTTGTTTTTGTCTTTCCTAACGCTTTGCTTGTTTTTCCCTTTCTCCAATCTATGTGAGGCGATTAAAATGAAATATTTGTCGACCAATTGCAACTATGTTTAAAAACCTGTCAAAGGACCTTGTTACAGAACGCTAAGAGCTTATTTCCTTAGAACTTACCATTTCCAAATCGACGTAGTTTGAAAGCATCGCACCTCCAACAAGAAACCCTAACCCAGGACCAACAATTGCTGCTGCGAAGAAAACACCAAAGTAGACTGGACATGATTTTGGGTGGACATTTTCGTCGATATAAGCGGGCGCCAGTGAGTAGAGGGGTGACGTTCCAGCTCCCATGACCATTTGCGCAACCGAAAAGATCATCAGGTAGTACCAGTTCTCTGCGTATTTCGAGAGACACTGGGAACTTTCTAAACCCGATGTTGTGTTTGTGGTGTTCGTGTGACATAAGAGCTGCCTTTGACCTGTAGAGGTTCCGTGGTCAGCCTCCGGTTGATATCGCCCGATTATAACGTGGGGAAGGGCATGTAATAAGCATCCAATACCTGAAAGGTTGGCAAGATAATTTTCTTAGATTACGATGTTTTTTGGACCAAGTGACAAACTTTTCAGCCTGTATTCACCAAGGAAAAGATAATCATGATTTTGTCAGTGACTTTTTACCATCGATCCTTAAAGCCAGCGACCAATAAGTCAGCTAATCACTTCACTCCGCTTTGCTCCCTTGATTCTTTGCTTTTTGATGGTTAACATAAATTAAGCACGAAAAGAGATTTGTGACTACAGCAAATATTGAAGGAAACAAGAGTTCTGCCAACAGGATACACATTGCATGGATTCTCAGAAAGGCGTCGAAATCAAGGACCTCACCTGTTATCAGAGCTCCATATCCTAACCATCTGGACTTGTTTCCATAACCGCCACAATAACTGACGATAAATGTCAGTAGAATGGCAGAAATATCATTGGAAGCAGCGATAAATCCCGTTTCTTTGCTAGTAAACTGGAATCGCTTTTCAATAGTTGTGAGGACGGTAGAGGTTATACCGCCAACGGTCATCCCTAAAAGAACGCAAGAAAGTGATAGATAATATCACTTGTGTAATCTTTGAACTCCAGGAAGAAAAGGAAAAGCTTTTAAAAGAGCCCAAATGGAGGTTTGATGCACGATCGTCGACAGAAAATGAGTTTAATGAAACTAGAAATGAGCGGGTTCAATTCGTTTTGGAGCGAGGTTCAATTTGTAACTCGGGTTCTCTGGTAGGTTTTGAGTCCTACTCAGTTATTCTAGATACACATAGAGTTTTCACATGTAACCCAGTGAAGGGCCCCATTTGGTTCGCTTTGGGCGAATCGCATCAAATATCATTCCAATTATCAATTATCATTCCAAACCAGGAAGAGAATTCTCAATCTGCTTTATCACCCCTTCCACTTCCTAAAGCCGGCGACACACCGATCGCTGCGGTTGGCGTATAAAATCGCTAGGTTTTTCGCCGGCTTAGACTCTAAAAACACGAGTCCGTATGACCTTTATTATAAAAATGATAAGATGACATTTCATTAGATGCCTTATGATTTTAAACGCACCTTGACTAATGCTGAAAGCGGTGGCAAATAACAAGAAACATTTGCAATTGTTCATAAATTGAAGATATCTCGGTCTGAAATTTCCCCATCCATATCTTAAGAGTGGGGGGTTCATTTTGGTTGCCATCTTTCTGTAACTGCCACCTAAAATTAAGAAATTGAATCTAAAATTAATCCCTAAATTATCGTAATTTTTTTCTGTTTTCCTATTTTATCGATTCAATCAGCTTGTTGCTTTCTTTGAGTTGATGGTTTTCAGGCAATATGTTGAGGTAACCTCATACAGACTACAAATTTGGAAGATATCGGTAACGAAGTCAAAAGAATAGTTGAAAATTTCTCCAGTTCTCATTTATATTTCCACTTGACTGTCGAGGAAATCAAGACAGGTAGCTTACAGCGCTCAGAATTTTGCCAAGATTCTATAAACTAGCAATCATAAATTCTCAAGTGACATGCTTGAACAAACATTAACATGCTACGTGTACAAGAAAACAATCAAGGTCACCTTTGCCGATGCGTGATTTTTCTAAAGATAAATTTGAATCACGCCACGCATAATTAAGGGTGCATGTCGAGGCGAATCTCGCTGTTAAATACAGGCCGTAGAAATGATCAAGAAATAATTCGCTTTCCATTTTCAGATCCTCGTATTTATAATGCATCTTAATTTGTGAAAAAAGAAAGTTCCTGTTCTTCATTTGTGGGGCGTTGAGTAAATTTCATCTTTATTCTTTTTTGCCGTTAACTTTCCCAGTAGTTTAACTAAACTTCTCAAATGACAAATTGATAAACCCTAGAGATCTTAGTACAACTATTCAGCGGGTGCACCAAATTTGCCAATGAGCTGCATTCTGTTTTAAATTACTATTAAGATTGCTTTTTATTTACCTGGGTATCCTGAGAGTTGAGAGATTCTAAAGGCACACGGTAATCAGAAGAGTGCCAGCTTTACGTCATTCACGTACAACATCAGCTGGCTGCACGTACGATACCGCTAGGTTCGGATAACAAATGCGGTATGCATTTCACTCCTAGCTCTGATCGAGACAAACTAACTCCCGAGTTAGGATTTCGAGTTAGGATTTCGAGTTGGATTTTCGAGTTAGGATTTCGAGTTGGATTTTCAAGTAAGGGATGTAGAGTCGGTTTTTTCGAGATGCTTACTAGTAATCCAGCTGCAACGAATCGGCTAGTCCAATGAAGTCAACAAAAAAATTCGTGTAGGGGAAGGGTTAGTGTTTTACCTTTTTATTCTTCGACGTCACTATGTAAAGCATACATGAAGTAAGAGGCAAGACATTGAGTCTTCCACAAACTCATTTCCCTTCGCCACTAACATGCTTCTCATTTCAAAAATGGCAAGATTGAGAAAGCTTTAATACCAACAGATAAACGAAACGAAAAAAATTACGATAACCGGGCGTAAATCGAAGGTAAGATCTAGAATATGTTTTCTCTTGTCATATCTATTCTGGTGGTACAAATTTAGAAATCCGCGTTAAAGATTGGACACAACAAAAGGCAAATATATAAATCCTGTAATCCCACCACATTTTGAAGACCGACAAATGGCACCAATACTGCTTTAGAGTACTTTCCTAGTTCCCCAACCCCCAGTAACTGTTTTTTTTTCTTCAGAAAGGCTTCATAAAAGGGGAGGCCCTTAGACTTCTCAGAACAAACTCCTCTCAAACGATATTCCAGGAGAAAGTTGCAAATTTCAAAGCGCATTTGCTAAAGAGAGACTACCCAGGGGACCTCATTAACACAACCCTCTCAGAGGTGAATTTCAAAAACAGGAAATTAATTCTTCAACAGAAACCGAAGACGAACCAACGAATCATTCCTTTTGTTACAAAATACCAACCATCAGTGCCAAACGTAAAGCAAATTCTCATGAAAAACTGGCATTTAATAGAAACACAACCACTACTGAGTTAACTATACAAAAATCCGTCGCTAGTATCTTACGAAAGAGGACAGTCGCTCAAAGACATACTCGTGAGGGCCAAACTTTGAATAGGCTATTCTAAACAAGCGCTGGGGAGTCGTGTAGGCCTGTCAACCCCATTTAACAAAAAAATCTCGCCAAAAAATCCTAACTCGAAAATCCAACTCGAAAATCCAACTCGAAATCCAACTCGAAATCCTAACTCGGTAAATAGGCAACCTCGCTCTGATCATCACGTAAAATCTCCTTAAGATTTTCATACCCTGACATTTAGACAGGTTATGAGGATCAACAATTCCATTCACAAGGCCGATTTAATTTCTTAATATCTTGATACACCGACAGCATCAGTCTTACGTGAAGAAAGAGATGTAACTGGGGATTTGTTGGGAGTATAAGCTTTCTTCAGATCTTAGTAGTGAAATAGGTTCAAGTTAAAAGCCAAAGCGGGATTTGATAATCGACAATGACTTTTCACTGGAAGACCCTTGAATACCAAGGCCCAAAAGATATCAATTACGAGAGAAAAACAAAAACCCAAGAATAGAGTCATAAGTTGACTCGAATGAGTCGAGCCGGTTTTCAGCCAAGTTTTCACAAAGGCGTGACCCACGAGCTAGTGCCGTAGTAGCCGTTAGGGCCAAAAATCTCAAACCTGGTTTGCTATTCAGTTTTAGCGGATATTTGATGTGCGATTTTCACTTTTCCTAGCAAAAAAGTTCGAGTCTGAAGAGGTAGTGTATGCAAAGGATGCCTCTCATGGAACCTTCTCAAGGATGCCTCTCAAGGAACCCACAGAACTCCCTCCTTTGAAGATCGGCGATCAACAGTTAGAGCTTGTAACTTCACACAAAGTACTTGGCCTGATGATTCAGAATAACTTAAAATGGAACAATCACATTGAAGCTACTGTCACCAAGGCTTCTAAACGCCTACACATACTCAGAGTACTCCATCGAGGGGGTGTGGAGATGAATGATTTAACCACTATCTGTATCTCCCTGATACGATCTGTTCTTGAATATTACTGTGTAGTATGGCACCACGCCCTCCCCTCCCACCTTTCACAAGAGCTAGAACGAATACAGAAGCGTGCTCTTAAAATCATAGTACCTACTTTATCTTGCCCAGAAGCTGTGCAATTCCGTAATTTAAGAACATTAGTTGAAAGACGTAGTGAACTTTGGTTAAAACTCTTGAAAATATCTCAAGAGGAGGGCCACTTTTTAAACATCTCCCGAAAGAAAGAAAGCAAGTGCATCAGTATCAATTGAGGAACGCTAACAATTTTTCAGTGACTAAATGCAGGACCGAAAGACTGCGCCGCAGCTTTTTCCCTAGGACTATTTTAGCCTTCAACAAATAATAGTTTCTTTTTATATATATTTGCATACCCACATAGTTAAATGTTAATTCTTAAAGTGCACCTACACCCAAAAAATTTTTTTCGCTTAACGAAGTAAGCTTATTTTTTTGAGTATTTCTGCGAAAAAATTTTTTTATTTGCTCAAATCTTCAATTTTCTATGCCCAGTCAAAATACGGAAAATCGGCCGCCATCTTGCCCCACGACCGAGTTTAAAGAGGAATGGCTCTAGTGGGTAATGTGACGTCAAATCGAGAACACGAAAGTCTGCATTTCACACATTTTCACTTGTTTGGGAAGGTTGTAGTAGATAATTGTCCGAAAATATGCCGACTAAGTGTGTTGTAGAAGGATGTAGCAACGTGCGAAATTTGCAAGAGGGTATCGCGCTTCATACATTCTTCATACAACACACCTAGTCGGCATATTTCGGACAATATCGACGACAATCTTCCCAAACAAGTGAAAATGTGTGAGATGCAGACTTTCGTGTTCTCGATTTGACGTCACATTACCCACACCCATTGTAGCCCAGTCCCTATCCACGCATGTAATTTTATATATTTGTTAAATGATTGTAACCACATTGTAATTCAGATTTTCTGTGAAAATGTGAGAAATAAACTTATCTTCTACTACTACTACTATCCCTAGGAAGTCTTTGTCAAGGAGTTGCCGCCGATAAGCAGTTTTTTGTTGGTCACTTAGAACAGCAGATAATTGCGGAGTAGTGTCACCAACCAAAGAAGCTCTTGATTGTTAAACAAATTCTCCTTGTCAGCACCACAGGAAATGTATGGAGAACAGTATGGAGAATATGCATACTGATGTTTAGGTGTTGCTTTAGCTGAGAGAGCAAAATTAGTGAGGTGTTTCAATGATGTAGAGTGAGTTTTTGAAGGCTTCGCCGGTACGCCCCATATCCCCCCCCCCCCACGATTCCCTTAACTGCCCACTAGAGCGCTAAGGGCGCAAACCGTCACAGCTGACGGGAAAAATTTGAAAGTTGGCACGTCAGTCCGACTATTTAGTGACAAGATAATTATACATAATAACCGTTTATGTGCATCTTAATATACCTTGTTTTCTTCATTTACGGTTGGGTTCGTACAGGGCGAGTCATTCGGTCTGGCTTCATCTGGCGATGGGCTTGAGATATAATCATTCGCATGGAAATTTGACTTAGTCATTTCAGGTTATCGCAATTCAACTCACCGACGAAGTCTGCCTTTAATTTCCGTGAAGCCTTTAGAGAATCAAAGAGGACAAAGACCATATTTACAAAGTCATATTTTCAAAGCAGATCCACCAGTGTCTACATTTGGAAGCGTTGTGTCTGATAGCGATTATAGCATGAGTTCTTACAAGCCCCCGACTGCCAATTTCCAAGTCAGAAAGGAAGATTCAGATCCAGATCACCCCAAAAGCAAAAAGTCCTCAGACGTGGATGGGACTCTTTTGTATTTGACTGACGTTACGAAGCGAGACCAAGTGAAAGCATTAAAGATGAAGTTTTATCAAAAAAACACCGCCAAAGAAAACATGCCAAGGTTTGAAGCTCAGGCATCATATCTCGCTCAACATGGCAACAAACGGGACCTAAGACCTCTTTTGAACCGTAGGCGACGGTACAGTTTCCCAGAAGGGGCTGAAAAGGTAACACTCGAAGCGCATATCAACGAGGAAGTCAAAGGCGATGACGATGTAAAACTAGACTTGAAAATCTCGGATGAGTTTGAAGGTAGCGTGAGAGTAAATACAGAATTCCTTCACTTACCAAGTATTATAAAAGAAGATGCGAATTCTAGTCACACTTTAGCTGTATCTGGCCGTGGATCCGAAACCAAGAGTGGTCGCTTTAGTTTCGACAATGAATCAAGAATGGAAGGCAACCCCGCACAGCAAACACTTTCAGTTGGAACACAAGAAATATCACTCGAAAAGGACCTGACATCCAAAATCAAAGATTTTCTCCAAAAGCCTCAGCCCAGAGCCAGCACCTTAAGTCTTCGAATGAAGAAATTCCCCGATATCAAGCTGCATGGGGAAGTCAGTGGAAATGTTTACACCAGCGGTGCTTTGGAGCAGTTCAAAACGGTGCCCATTAACACAGACACATGTCCACTCATGAGCCACTTTTTGAAGGATAGAAAATGGTACTATCAGGACAAAAGTGGAAAATGCCGCTATCTTAGAGTTCCAGAATCCCCTACTCCTCCTGTTTCATATGTATTTGCAAAAGACGAACTTCCTGATTCGGTCAACGAGTAACAAGGAAGTTCCTATTTTTACTATCAAAGGTAAAAAAACTTGATCATTTTAGGGGTATCACTAATTTGCCATTGAATCTACGCCACAGTGAGAATTGGCAACGCTAAAGCAGTCTGACTGGTGGCTACCGCCTATGTTTTACACAAGTCTACAGAAAGACTGTGATTCTACTATGTTTATAAAAGGAAATTTGCTTCGTCAGCACAGCCTCAACGATCCGGTTGACAGTCTATGGCTACAGAGGAACGTCTGGCTCAATGAAATAGGAAGGCATGCCGTTCTTTGTTGGGGTTTTCTATTCAAATATCACAACTTTGCCTTTTTGACCGTCAGTCTCGAGGACAGGTTGTAACGCCGAAGTAATTTTCCAAACATTTCCGAAACGAAATGGCACTTCGCACACACAGGAAGTAATTTTTTTTTAATTAAATGTATTTCTAAATTAAGCACGGGATTTTGTTCCGTGGCTATGAACACTCATGGTATTTATATCTCTTGTGGCGCGTTTATAACTCCGTAATGTTGTGCGTGTAGAGTACAAATGTACGTGGTTGTTGCTGTGCTCGTCTAAATGCTACATTAAATATAATTAGAACA